GGCCTTCAACTCCCAGAATTCCTCAAATTTAAGACTTGTGGACTTCAGCTCCTAAATTCCTCAACTTTAAGACTTGTGGACTTCAACTCCCGAATTCCTCAAATTTAAGACTTGTAGCCTTCAACTCCCAGAATTCCTCAAATTTAAGACTTGTGGCCTTCAACTCCTGGAATTCCTCAACTTTAAGAGTTGTGGATTCAACTCCCGGAATTCCTCAACTTTAAGAGTTGTGGACTTCAACTCCCAGAATTCCTCATCCAGGCAAAACTGGCTGAGAATTCTGGGAATTGAAGTCCACAAGTCTTAATTAAAGTTGCCAAGGTTGGAGACCCCTGATCTGGAGCCAAGCTCCCTTATGGTGGGGGATGGAAATCAATGAAACAATTGTTCCAGTCGTGCTCTTTCACCATCTCCCTCCCTCCCACCCACCCTGCCTGGGACGGGCCTCCTGCAATTTAGCAGCTGCTTCCTGCCCTCTGCAGACAAGGGCCAGTGGTGATGGGGGAGCTCTGAAGAGCAGCCCCCGCCCTCATTTACCCAGCCCATTGTCTTGCAGGGTAAAAATCTTCTCCTTCCGGCTTTGTATTGTGATTGTGTCTTCCTGTTGGCATACTGGAATGAGGCCCGGCATTGCCAAGTTGTAAAACAATGCGCTATTCTGAAACTTGGGTTCATGTGCACACGCGTGCACATGTGTGGCCTTTCACAGAAAATCAGGAATCTTGTTAGCACCTTCGCCAAGAATACAGGCGGTCCACAACTTACGGCCACAACTGAGCCCGAAATTTATGTTGCTAAATGAGAAAGTTGTTCAGTGAGCTTTTGCCCCAGCCTACGATTTTTCTTGCCACAGCTGTTATGTGAATCACTGCAATGGTGACATTAGTAACACAGTTGTTAAGTGAATCTGGATTCCCCATTGACTCAGAAGGGGATCGTGTGAGCTTGGGACACAGCAATGGTCGTAAGTACGAACCAGTTGCCGAGCATCTGAGTTTCGGTCATATGATCCTGGGGATGTGGCGAAGTTTGTAAGTGTGAAAAACATGGCATAAGTCGCTTTTTTTTCCAGTGATGTTGCAACTTTGAACGGTCACTAAATGAACTGCTGTAAGTTGAGAACTACCTGTAACAGGTTTTATGAACGGGTGCATGGAGGGAGCTTTTGTGATGTGTGAGCTGTGGTTTGTGGCAAAGCTCCTGCCTTCTCATAAAAAAAAAGGAATGGGAAAGGTGCTAAGGCATTCCTAATTCCTTGCCAGACCTCTAGTTTAATCTACACCAAACTTGGAAATGTTAAGACTTGTGGGCTTCAACTCCCAGAATTCCCCAGCCAGCTTTGCTGGCTGGGGAATTCTGGGAATTGAAGTCCACAGGTGTTTAAAATTGCCAGAGTTGGAGGCAGGGGTGGGATTTTTGAATCGGTTCATTGTCCGGTTGCTGGGTGGGCATGGCCATAGTGAGCGTGGCCTACCAGAACTTCCGGGAGGGCCGTTTTTTGCCTTCCCCAGAGTCCGGAGGCTTCCCTCGGGCCTCTGGGAAGATGAAAACATCCTCCCCTGGGCTCCCTCCGGAAGCCAAAAACAGGGCCGTTTCCGGACTTCTGGAACTTCTGTCAGGGCCGTTTTTCCCCTCCATGCAGATCCTGCACTTAACTGCATCCAAAACATGCCGTGTGGAGACTCCTGGGAGGAGCGGGGTGGGGTGGGCGGAGCCAGCCATTCAGTTGAAATACCGGTTTGGCGAACCAGATGAAAACTTAACATCCGGTTCGCTCCAACCGGTCCAAACCGATAGAATCCCACTCTTGGTTGGAGGCGCACCAATCGTGCCTACCGTCCCTGTCCTATTGTTTCTTTTTATTTTTCTTATATGTATCCATCTCATGTATTCATAACTATGTTTATACTTATACCTGTTATCTTGTAAGGGATTGACAAATAAAATAAATAAAATAAATAGATTAACTAAACTCCTCCTGCACCGTCTGTTCAGTCAACCTTAAAATGGTTTGAGCTACTTTGTCACATGTGTGACTCATGTCACAAGCCCTAAAAAATCCCCCAAGGAATGTTCCTGGATATTACAAATTTCCACCTCTGCTGAAGCATTTTGCAACAGTTGAAGGTTGTCGTTGCCTTATTTTTTTCCCCATCACCAGGGAATTTAATTTTGATTTTGAAACTTCAGGAGATACCACTTCTGTCCTGTTACCTTCTTTCTAAAGAGCAGGAGGTGGTTTCCATTTTTTTTTTTTACTATTTTTCCCACTGTGGTTACTTTTTGCTCTCTCTCTCCTCTTTTAAAATTTCCAATGTTGATATTTTAAAATTATCGGCACATTACAATCTCTTTTCCCCTCCAGTCAGAGTTTAATCTTTATTCTAAATGGATCACTTAAAATGCTAATGTTTCATTTAAGCTCTGTGGCTTGTTAAGATTTATAAGATACTAAAGGCTGAACAATCTTGATTAATGCAGTGGTTGGAACAAGGGTTGCAGCCTCTTGATTTTGCCACCTCTCTGAGAAAGGCAGTGAATCAGGGATCGAGGGAAGAAAATGCTTGGAAATACTTGTATAATAGGAGCATGATAGATTGTACTGTTTTGTTAATTTAGGTTTAATACATAAGCCACAATTGGAGGTGTTCACAAATCACGATTTCCAAGGCACGGGGGTTAAGCTTTCCTAACATGTTATGTGAGAAACAAACTAAGAAACCTCATTATCACTTAAATAAATACTCTGTCTTACATATTGGCAAAAAAAAATCAGAAAAAAAATACAAGCTGAATAGTCAAGATCTTGTTGATGACCCAAGCTCTGTAATCAACCTTGGAATACTCACCTCTAATGATCTAAGTGCTAGAGCCCACTGCAACTACATAGCCAAAAAGGCATTAAGAGTTGTTAACCTAATCCTACGTAGCTTTTTCTCTGGTAATATCACACTACTAACCAGAGCATACAAAACATTTGCTAGACCAATACTCGAATACAGTTCATCAGTCTGGAACCCTCATTACGTATCTGATATTAGCACAATTGAGAAAGTCCAGAAATATTTCACAAGAAGAGTTCTCCACTCCTCTACTCGTTGTAGAATACCTTATGCCACCAGACTTGAAATTCTAGAACTAGAAAACCTTGAATTACGCCGTCTTCGGTCTGATTTAAGCATGGTATATAAAATCATACATTGCAATGTCCTACCTGTCAATGAATACTTCAGCTTCAACCATAACAACACAAGAGCACACAATAGATACAAACTCAAAGTTAACCACACCAAACTTGATTGCAGGAAATACGACTTCAGCAATAGAGTGGTCAATGTCTGGAATACTCTACCCGACTCTATAGTCTCTTCCCCAAACCCCAAAAACTTTAACCTCAGACTGTCTATTATTGACCTCACCCCTTTCCTAAGAGGTCTGTAGGGGGCGTGCATAAGCGCACCAACGTGCCTACCGTCCCTGTCCTATTGTTTCTCTTATTCTTCTTTTATTTTTCTTATATGTACCCATTTCATGTATTCACAACTATGTATACACTTATACTTATTATCTTGTAAACAATTGGCAAATCAAATAAATAAATAAATAAAATAAAATAAAATAAATATGGATGATCATTTATATATGAGCCAGCCATATGTGGCAGCAACCAAAAAAGCTAATACAATCCTTGTTTGCATGAACAGAGGCATAGAATCAAGATCACGTGAAGTATTAGTGCCGCTTTATAAAGCCTTAGTAAGGCCACACCTGGAATCCTGCATCCACTTTTGGTCACCACATTACAAAAAAGATGTCGAGACTTTGGAAAAAGTGCAGAGAAGAGGAACTAAGATGGTCAAAGGCCTGGAGACTAAAACATATAAAAATGGCTGCAGGATTTGGGCTTGGCTAGTCTAGAGAAAAGGACTGGGGATGACATGATAGCAGTATTCCAATATTTGAGGGGCTGCCACAGAGAGGAGGAGGTCAACTTATTTTCCAAAGCACCAGAGGGCAGGACAAGAAACAATGGATGGAAACTGAACAAGGAGAGATTCAACCTGGAATTAAGGAGAAATTTCCTACCAGTGAGGACCAGTGGAACGGAAGTTGCCTTCAGAAGTTGTGGGTGCTTCATCACTGAAGGTTTTTAACAAGAGACTGGACAGTCACTTGTCTGAAATGGTGTAGGTTCTCCTGCTTGAGCAGGGGGCTGGACTAGAAGACCTCCAGGGTCCCTTCCAGCAATATTCTGATTTCATGATGATGGGTTAACTCACTGTGAGAACTCACCCAAGATGCTGGTGCGCTCTTTCAAAAGGGTTTGTTGCTGTCCTAAGCTGGAATCCTCTCCTCTGTCTGGAGCTGAACGCTCTGTGTGTGTTTGTGTGTATGTGTGTTGCACAATGGGCTAGGCGAGACCACAATTGGCTTGGGCAGCCAGTGGTCCATGTTGTAGGGACTCCAACATTGCCTTTTGCACGTTGAGTGAACCAGATTGCCAAGGCAGGACAAAATAAACTTGGTTTGGCCGCTATATTTGAAACCAACCTAGCACTTCTATTTTGTCGAAAGGAGTTTAGCGCAGGGAAAGTCACATAATTTTTGGCACTCTGTCTTTTTCTGTGCGGAGACAAGGTCGCTCTAGATTTTTTTCTTCCGTGCCTTCTCCCTTTTCCTTGTTGGCTTCTTAATGTCATTGGGCCATGCCAGTGAATTATTGCAAATTG